TAAATTCAAAATCCCAAACAAATAAACAAAGAAATAAATATTTATACATCAGTGGTTGTAACGGATTTTTTTTTTCTTTTCTGATATGTTGATATTTTTTTGATATTACAGATTGACCCAAAAAAAAATTATAGTTATCAAGTCATTCAAAACAGTTTTCTTCTTGTAAATGATAAAACAACCAAATAAAATATATATCTTTTTTTTTCTTTTCTAATTTAATATAAGATTAATAATAACTATCAAATAAATTTAATAAAAAAAATAATTGAAATTATGCAGTTAAAGCTTTAAAGTTTTTTTTTTTTTATTCTTTTCTTTTATTCAAATTGTATCCTTAATAGCTGGAATACCTGGCCACCGTTGTATCCTAACGGTGGATCCAGTTGCCGTTACTGTCCTTCAGTTCCCGTTGTTTCCTTTTACGTCCGTTAGATATTGAGTATGATGATTTTTTTTTTCTTTTTATTTTTGCCGCGGAATTCAAATTTAGATTAATTTTTATTGATTTTTTTTTTTTTTCTGTGGTCCTTATTGATTGCCGGTAATTCTTATGATCAGTTATAGCACTTTTTCTTCTTCTTCTTAAAAAAAAAATTCTTTTCTATCTTTCAATTCATACTTTTATTAATTTTACATAATTTTTTTTTTGATAAAAATTTATCTATTCTTGAACTTTAGTAACTTTCATTAAATTTAAACAATTTTTGTTAAATATTTAGCTATTTCCGAATTTAGTTCACTTTTTATACCTTATACTAAGATTTTTAATGAATTGGTGCACTTTTAATAAAATTTAATAATAAAAACAAATTCTTGTTAAAAATTCTGCGTTTTTATGTACTTTTAATAAAATTTAATAATAAAACAAATTCTTGTTAAAATTTTGCGTTTTTATGCACTTTTTATAAAATTTAATAATAAAACAAATTTTTGTTAAAATTTTGCGTTTTTATGCACTTTTTAAAAAATTTAATAATAAAACAAATTCTTGTTAAAATTTTGCGTTTTTATGCACTTTTCATAAAATTTAATACAAATTATAATCAATTTTGCATTTTTATTCAATTTTATCAACGTTGAATAAAATTTATCATTAACTTTGAATCTTTGTTCACTTTAATCAACATTTAATAAAAAAAATTTTTAATTAATTTTTGGATTTTTATTCACTTTAGTCAAGTTTAAAAACAATTTTTAATTAATTTGGAAACTTTGTTCACTTTTCATAAATTAAATTTAAAAAAAAATTTTCTTTTGTCGACTTTTAATAACGAACGTGAACTGATATGTCCCACTTGCCGTTCTTAGAAAACACCAAAATACAAGAGACCGAATCAAGCCTCCGCTGGCTCTTTTATAGTCAATTTGTCTAACTGAACAATCCTCCTGCCACGTTAGTGATCCTGTTAACTCTTTGGTTACCGTAGACTGCCCTTGAAAAGTTTTCACCGCTCTCCTAGTTGGTTTTGTTTTGTGTTTATTTATTTGTTTGAGGGTGATGACCTCTAAGAAAGCTTACTTTATTTTTTCCTTCCAATAAAGTTAAAATTTGTCTTAAGTGTATCAGTGTAAGTGTAACTTTACTGGAGCTTTCAACCTAATTCGCCTCAATCATATCGATCAAAACAAAACGAAACAAAAGCTTTTACACGATTTTTATATATTATTTTGAATGTGCGAGCAATGCACATGAATAAATTGTAAAGAAACAAAATTAAGTGATATCAGTAAAAAATGTTTAAAAATGTAAAAAAAAAAAATGTTTTTAAAACAAACAATATGAAATGAACAGGTGCGGGGTCGAATGGTCACTTGCTCGACCACCTAACCAAAAAAAACAACACCACAGGTAGAGACATTGGCTGATTTTTTTATGGACATCGCGGGAAGTTCGAGGTACTGTCTGTAACATTTACTTCATTCTTATTGGATCAAATATTCTATTCCCTCACATGCCTACATAACAATATATATATATGTTTACATTTCTGAATACAAATGATATTTGTAGGAAAGTTTTAAGTAATATGTATAACATATTACGTACAACTTTTTGCGACAGTCGCCGACATTGCCGACGCCACTATTTATTTCTTTGTTATTGTTATTATACATTGAAGATGGTCTACGAAGTAGTTCGAAATATTTGTGATATAAATAATTTTGTATTAAAATATAAATAAATATTTAACACAGTTTAAAAAGTGAAATGTTTTATTTTATTTAAAAAACATTTTTATAAATTAATGTGTTAAATAAACGACCTAAGCCCGGTAAAAAATATAAAAACTAAATTATCAATTATTTTTTTTTTTTTTATATATAAATTGATTTTATTTGATTAAATAAATTTTTATAAGAGTAACTAGCTAACAATATAATAAGCTAACAAACAATTTTAATCAACAATTATAAAGAATTTAATCAAAAATGACGCAAGTTCATTTATCACGCATTTCGGACAGGTTGCGACCAAAGATCACAAGGTTTTAGACGCTTAAGGCGACGTGTTGGCTCTATTGACGCCAGTTCGTTAGCTTCATCATTCGGATGAGAGTACAGTCGCTGCAGGTGCATTCTTGCATTTCGCTGTATTTCTTCCACCACCGTATTTATCCCTAGATCACGATGCAGATCAGAGTTCCTAACGTACCATGGTGCATTTGCCACACCCCTTAATATAACGTTTTGGAATTTTTGTATGATTTCAACATGTGTGCTGCTAGCGTATCCCCAGAGCTGAATACCATATGTCCAAATTGGTTTCAATATTTGTTTGTAAATTAAAAGCTTGTTATGAAGTGACAGTTTCGACTTCTTTCCAATAAGCCATTTGATTGATCTGTATTTTATATTCAGTTCATCTCTCTTTTTTTTACATGTTCATTCCATCTCAGCTTTACATCCAATGTCATACCGAGGTACTTAGCCGTATTAGAATGTGGAATTTGTATTCCATCAATGTAGAGGGGCATAAATCTGATATTTCGGTTTGTAAAGTTGACGTGAACTGATTTATAGTGGTTAAGTTTTATTTTCCACTTTTCAGCCCAAGCGATAATGTCATTGACAGAAGACTGCAGACGCCTGGCTGCTTTTAGTTCATCATCTCCAATCGCTAGAACAGCTGTATCGTCAGCGAACGTCGCTGTAAACGTCGCTGAGCTCGTTGGCAAATCATGTGTGTATATTAAATATAACAAAGGACCAAGTACACTGCCTTGGGGTACCCCAGCGTTGATTTTTTGGAGTTCACTGTAATCGTTTCCATGCTTAACACAGAAGTAACGATTGGTCAAATAAGAAGAAACCATATCGAAATACTCCAACGGAAAAATGTCTCTTATTTTTGTTAGTAGACCTGTATGCCAAACTTTGTCGAAAGCCTGGGATACGTCTAAGAATACTGCTGAACATACTTTCTTTTCCTTAAGGGCAGTTTCGATTACGTTTGTGATTCTGTGGACTTGATCAATGGTCGAGTGATTACACCTGAATCCAAATTGATGCATAGGTATGGTCTGCTGTTGTTATCAATTATGATTAAAAATTTTATTTTGGAGTTGTTATTCTTCTAAATTTTTATTTAAATTGAAGAAAACATATATTCATATGTATATACAGTGGCTCACAGCTTATTTGATGCAAGCAAATATTTTTTGAAAAATGTTGTTTATTTCAAAATATTTTGCAAAATTAAAAAAACAAAGTATGCAGAGTTATTGTTTATAGTGTGTTTATTCATTTTAAGAAAAAAAAAACCCAAAAATCTTCTTCCATTCCTTAGTAATGCATCAAAAACCAAAACCAAATGAAAAATTCATGTCACAGCTTAAATGATGCAACATCAAAAAAACTAATATTTTTACAAACTTCCGGACTAATTCTAAGTACTTAGTACTTTGTTGGATATCCCTTATTAGTAATAACAGCATGAAGCCTTTTTGGCATGGAATCAACCAGTTTTTTGGTATAATCTGGACTAATTTTACTCCACTCTTGCTGTAAAGCGTTTCTTAAGTCAAATTTGTTGCGGATGTCATGTTTTCTGATATTTGTCTTCAAAACGGACCACAAATTTTCAATAACGTTCAAGTCTGGTGATTGTGCAGGAGTTTGGACAATGTGTGGACATTGCCATATCAACCACGTTTGTACTAATGCTGACTTGTGCTTAGGGTCGTTGTCTTGGTAAAAGCGAAAATCATCTGCAATCTGCAATTTCGTTGCACTTTGAATCAAATTTTCTTGAAGAAGCTTTAAGTAAATATTTTTATTCATAGATTCTTCGATGAAGACCAAATTTCCTACTCCATTTGATGACATACATGCCCAAACCATAACATTACCACCTCCGTGTTTTACGGTAGCACGTAAATTTTGTGGTTTGAGCTCAGAATTGACTTCGCGCCGTACATAAGATCTTCCATCTGATCCAAATAAGTTTATTTTGACTTCGTCTGCAAAAAGTACATTTCGCCAAAATGCTGGACTCTTATTTAAATGCTCTCGTGCAAACTGCAACCTTTTAATTCTATTTTTTGCACATACGAAAGGTTTCTTTACAGCTATTCTTCCATTGAAATTTGATTCTCTCAATATTCTGCGGACGGTTTCAGGATGACAAATTTTTCCAAAATCTATTTTGGCCATGTCTGTCAACTTTGGAGCGCTAATTGTTGGATTTTTTCGAGTTTGGTTTACCAAATACCTCGATTCTTTTTCTGTAAAAATTTTATTGGGAGCCTTTCGTCCCTTATTTTCTATGCGATTTTCATGTACGAAGCGTTCAATTATGTGTTGAACTGTTGAAGAGCTTATATTTACCATTTCACCAATTTTACGCTGGGGAATTCCCTTTTTAAAGTACTCCAACACTAACTCACGCTTTTCAATTGATGTGCGCCGTCCCATGGTTAACAAAATGCACTCACTTTAATTTTTATAATATTTTCGCTCAAAAACTAGATTACAAATGATCGCAGAATAAAAATATTTTAATTTCTGTGTAATCTGGCGACAAAAATAACGGTATTCTTAACTGCATCATTTAAGCTGTGACATGAATTTTTCATTTGGTTTTGGTTTTTGATGCATTACTAAGGAATGGAAGAAGATTTTTGGGTTTTTTTTTTTTTAAAATGAATAAACACACTATAAACAATAACTCTGCATACTTTGTTTTTTTAATTTTGCAAAATATTTTGAAATAAACAACATTTTTCAAAAAATTTTTGCTTGCATCAAATAAGCTGTGAGCCACTGTATATACACATAGCCAATAAACTCTGCGTACACCTTACGAATTTTGATATGTGATAAAGAAACGCAACATAAATAAATATTTTTAATTAAAATTTTTACATACATATATTTATTCTTTGAATATTTAAGTTTAAATAGAAAAAGACAAAAATTGTATTCGACTATTCATTCCAGAGATAACGGGATAAAAGTGTGCCTGCATGTAAAAATAGGCCCCACAAAGTCTGCGTACAGTTTGAATCCTTGATTGCCGGCTTTTAATTATTTTATATCAAATATAAACATAAATGATTTGTATATTATGTTTAGAGTTTTAGAAAGAATGTAATTAAGTATTTTAAATAAATATCTTATAATAGTTACTTTAATGTTCTTAATTTACCTATATTTGAAGCCGAAACCTGTTAAAGCTGGTATACTGGATGATCTACTCATGCCTCCATTACTTTATATATTAATTGTTATCATTGTTTTTATTTGTTATTTGTTAATTATTGCAATAAGTTGTTTAAGTGTTAAAATCATTATGTTGAATGCCAATTAGTTATTAGTTTTGAGGATGATAGATGTGGAGAGTTCATGTTCAGAATTATTAAATAAAAAAGTTAATGGGTTTTAGTTTTATAAAACCAATAAATCAATCAATAAATAACTTTAAATAAGTAAAATACATTGATTTATATTAGGAAGTATAATTAATGTCAAATGAATAAATTAAAAATATTGAAATAAATCATAGTGTGTCTTGTAACAATCTTGTACTTAGAGTTAAACCTTAGCACATAATTTTCTCACGAAAACCACTAAATTATATCACGAAAGTTATGTGTCGCAAGAACATACATATAAACAAATTATATTATTGTCACGAATCATACTTTCTGTAAAATAAAAACATACTAATAAATAATTATCTGTGCAATGTTAACTATGTGATTTATTTCCAAAAAAAATAGTAATAATAAAGATATAACGATTTTTTTTGCAGGTTAACAGTTTGTCTCTCTACAAATCGAATTACATACATACCTATTTGATAGAGTTTTCATTTCAAAAAAAAGAAATAATATTTACATAGAAACTAACTTTAAGTGCAAAAAGAAAATGTAAAGAAACAATTTAATAGAAAGATTTTTGAACAGAACTGAATAACAACTGCAAAATTAAAAATAACTATTATATCATTAATTAATTCAATTATTCTATATTTTATATGATTTTGTTTTAATACAACAGAGCAACAGAGCAAATTTGGTAATGAAATTTGTTAAGAAATTGAGCTTCGAGTTTTGAGTGTGTTTCCAATCTATATGACGTAAGTGCAAGACTAGATTTATTAGTCCAATTAGTAAACGAATTGTATGGCAGGAATACTCGTTTTCAGTGCTAACCGAGAAACAGAGTGCTAATTAAATACAAAGAATCCCAGAGAATAATTTTTATTATTATATTATTATCTCTCCAAGCTTTTGTTTTTAATTTTTGAATTAAGGAATTATCTATTGTCATTGTGTCATTAAGTTAGGAAACACTCCATATATGTATAAATAAAACAATAACATAAATGATACAATTTTTGTATACAATGTTATAAATAATAATACTACGTAAAAAAGTGGACAAAATGTTATAGGTCTATAATAAGCAAATTAAGTAACTATTTTATTTTTATTTTTATTTTTATTCTATTTTTAAATAACTATTTATATTTACCTTGCAGGAGCTGGACTTGCGGAATCAGAAGCTGTTTTCCTAGTCGCTGTAGTAGTGCCATTAGTACGTGATGATGTTGTTACCGACAGCCGTGAAGGTCTAGGTGTTGTACCTGTTGCAGAAACTGTATCTGAAACAATTCGTTTCCGTTGAGGAATACGTGATGGTGTTGTCTCCAGGGTTTGAATGGCTGTTGCTAATTGCATTGCTTGCATAATTGCTAACGCATTGCATAGGAAAATGAAATAAGAATATGAATTAGCAACAGCAAAAAACGCAAACTGGTTTCATTTTGATTGCTTGCTAATAGTCGATTTTACATTTTTGACTATTATACTTTTGAATATATGCAACGTTCTTGCTTATGCGTTAGATGCTTGTGTTTTGCCAAAGAATCTATAGTACAAAGAAGTGCCACGCTCATAGAAACGAAATACCCACTTTATTTTGCTGGTGGATTTATAATAAATCCACCCAACCTCATGCAACAATGTTCGATCGAACAACTGGTATGATGTTCAGTTCAAACTCATTGCAACCCACAATTGTTTTTCTACGCCTGTTTCTTTTACCTTTCTTGTTTTTATTTGTCTATTTAATTAATATAGATGGATTAGTAACGAAGTGAATGGTAAAGAAATCCCTCAAATAATTTTTCGATATACTTTGTTGCTTTATCTTTTTGTACTGGAAAGGCCCATATCATAGGAGTAAAGAGTAATAGAAAGCAACCACTAATAATGCTTCCTGGTTTGAGAAAGCGCATGAATGCTATTTACAAAGGATTGAAATGTTAAAATTGGAAAAGTCAGAAAAAGGAAAAAATCAGATTTGAGACATAAATAAATTTGTAATGTGTTTTTACACTACAATTCATAACAATATCAAACAGGTAATTTTGTTTCATATGCTATCAAATTCAAAAAGTTATCAAACGTACACAATTTTGACTTCGTCACTGAAATGCTGTTTGATCGTTTGAACATTTTACAGCGAACAAACATACAAACATGCGTATAATGTAATACAGAGGGTTGCATGTATGATTGAATCCGAATGCAGTCGGGCTTTTGTCACCCTTACTCGACTCACATATAGGTTTGAACTGGACATCATACCAGTTGTGACTCGATCGAACATTGTTGCATGAGGTTGGGTGGATTTATTATAAATCCACCAGCAAAATAAAGTGGGTATTTCGTTTCTATGAGCGTGGCACTTCTTTGTACTATAGATTCTTTGGTTTTGCTATTAGCGAACGTGTATGGATTTCTTCTTTTTGTTTTCGTTTTAAGGGAATATGTACGGATTATTTCCTTGTTGGTGCAATGAATATAGTTATGCAAAATTGTAAATAATGTGTGTGCGTACAAGTTGTATGCAAATAATATAATTTTATCTGTAATTAGATTATGCCTAAATTTATGTCTTTTTTAATTATTAAATTATTAAATTTATAAAGTATTTTAACAAAAATAACAAAAAACACCATCCATTCTTAACTTAATATTCTAGCTCAACATTAAATATTTATAAAAAGGAACGACTGCTTTATGTTGCGTAAGTTAATTCAAGAAGAAATACATATGTATCTTTTTTGTCTTTAAATATACATATGTATATCGTGAAGTTCATACGATTATTAACAGTAGAAGCATACAAGTAAGTGCAATGTAAATTCATAATAATATATGCTACTATTTTAATAAAATGAAAATGTATATGTATGTATGTGGTCGCCAAAGAATTATATTACTTATATGTTCATATTAAAGAATAAAATAAAACGTAAATTATATATGTATGTATTCATAGATAATAAAAAATGGTAAAGGTACTAAAAACTAAAAGCTGTTAGATTACACGTTTCTATTAAGTTATATGCAAAATAAGTCATTTATTAAATAGCAGAAAATGCATTTTCAAAACTTGTTATACATGAACTCAAAAAAAATTTTAATTTCAAATTTATTGATTGTTTTCTGGCAGTTTATTAAAATAAAAAATTTATTTATTTGTTAAATGACCATTTCCGTTTTAATATATATATGTATTTTCACTGACGTATGGATGATTAAATAGATTATGTAGAGCAGAGTTGTAATAAAACACTCGAGTCATTAAAACCAGCTAAAATGATTTATGAAATGAACAATGTACAATTTTACTATGAAAGCATGTTATGCTTGTTATGTAAATGTAATAATAATGTTATATTACGCTAAAGAAATGTTTTAATTATAAGCATATGAATATTTTAATTATATTTATTCAATATGAGAAAGTACAAAATTCTTAACTATTTACTTACCGCGACAAGGAAAATTTTTTTATAAGAACTCATCAAGTGCAAGCCAGCCGCCACCTACACGAACCACAACTGTGCTACGCAATATTCGCACCAAACGTAATTTTTGAGAGTCGAGTCGCCAAACTGTTTTATACAAAAATAATATTGTTTTAAAAAGAAGATGGAGTATTAAGCTTTAAGATCCGATAATTAGTATTTTACGAACCCTATATTTCCCTTCGCCAACTTGAAATACGCGGAATTTTTGTCGACATGTGCAAAGGATAACAAGGCGTTTAACTTCATCATGTATTTTATCTGAATCAGTTGCTGGTTTGCGTTCTTGCCAATCGGGTCTCCACCATTACGATCAAAAAGATCTGCCACTGCACCCATTTCCATTCGAGAAGTGTCAAATTCTTTAAAAAATAAATAATAGGTATTCTACATTATATAAATACTCGTACTTATTATTCCATATATGAATTCGGCACGTGGTATTCAACCATTATTATCCTTATTCATTTTTCTAAACAAATCAGTCAAACGTGATTTTTTGTGATTCATATATGTATGTACATACTATATGTATATATGAATATTTCAGGAAAAATATTTTAGAAAATATTTTAGGAAAAATATACAAAAACAAAGCCATGCATCATTTTCAGAAATATTGCCTCACATACTCTTTCATAGAAAATCATTTAGAGTAGAATATATAAAATGAAGAATATAAGAACAATTTAGTATTGATTATTTTTTTGTTACTAGCAAAAATTTGTTAAATTTGTAGTAACTATTTCTTTTGTTGGCGTGCATAAACAAATTTAAGGAAAATATTGCACACGCATTTTTTATGTTATGCATTTATTTTAATTAAATTTCACTGCAATGCGAACAACAATTAGAAATTTGTTTTGTTAAATTTTTTTGTCACTCTGCTTGCGGGACTTTGTTTACATCAAAAGATTATTCAAATCATGTTTGGTTTTGGTTTTTTCGTCTATGACTACAACCGTACGCACGCTATAATTGTAAGCATGACAAGAGAGGGAAGCAAGGGCTCAAGTAGGCAACTAACACGACGCCAATAATTAAATGCTTGAAAAATAAGAAGTAATAATTTCAAATTTATGCACTGCATGTGCAGAAAACCAATCAAATATTTTGTGAAAAATATACAAAAACAAAGCCAGGCATCATCTTCAGAAATATTGCCTCACATACTCTTTCATACAAAATCTTTTAGAGTGTGCAATAAGAATGAAGAAGAGAAGATGGGTTGGTGCCATTTCTCTGTCCGCTCATCACAATTATGTTTTTTTTCCGCTATGACTCCATTCGTAGGCATACTAATAACTGTGTATGGGTGTGCATTAATATGATATATGTACATGTTTTCTTTAAAATTTGTAAAAACCTATTGTGTTTGTAATCTAATGCAAATTGATTTGAAGTTTACAGGGTTATGTATTAAAATAAATGCAAACGTTTTCATGTTATGCAGTTATTTTTATTATATAATAATAAATATATATAATTATATAGTAATAATTATATAGTAATAAAAATAAAACGTTTGCATGTAACAAAAGAAAACAAAAAATAATCAATACTAAATTGTTCTTATATTCTTCATTCTATTGCACACTCTAAATGATTTTGTATGAAAGAGTATGTGAGGCAATATTTCTGAAGATGATGCATGGTTTGGTTTTTGTATATTTTTCACAAAATATTTGATTGATTTTCTGCACATGCAGTGCATAAATTCTTTGAAATTATTACTTCTTATTTTTCAAGCATTTAATTATTGGCGTCGTGTTAGTTGCCTACTTGAGCCCTTGCTTCCCTCTCTTGTCCTGTTTACAGTTATAGCGTGCGTACGGTTGTAGTCATAGACGAAGAAACCAAAACCAAACATGATTTGAAGCGCACAGGGTCATCCATTAAATAAGATGGATTTTATTAATAATATATTTTTATTGTTTCTTTTATATGTTTATTGTGTTTTTAAATAATTATTGAATGCATAATATTTTAATGTATGTTTTATATGTTTATTGTGTTTTTATATTATTTATTTGTGTAATGTTATTTATACCCTATTTATGTACATACATATATAAAACAAAAGTTGTATTTGTTATATTTACTTTATTTGTAAAACCGCTAATGTAGAATATTAGCACGTTAAATAACAACTGAAATCAAAAGTAATTATGTGTGCAAAATAACTGTGTCTTCTAAGTATTATTAAATAAACTAAAATGAATTGAACACTGAACAATATTCTTTATGTATGTAATTTATACCCATCATCAGTATTCAATATTTTTTATTAGTCAAACTTCTATCCTTTAAACTTGAAGCTCAATTTTTTGACAAATTTCATTACCAAATTTACTTGCTCTGTTATATTAAAACAAAATCATATAAAATATAGAACAATTGCATTAATTAGTGATATAATAGTTATTTTTAATTTAGCAGTTGTTATTCAGTTCTGTTCAAAAACCTTTATATTAAAATGTTTCTTTACATTTTTTTTTGCACTCAAAGTTAATTTCCTTGTAAATATTATTTCCTTTTTTTGAAATAAAACTCTGTCAAAAAGGTATGTAATTCGATTTGTAGAGAGACAAACTGTTAACCTGCAAAAAAAAATCGTTATATCTTTATTATTATTTTTTTTTTTTTGGAAATAAATCACATAGTTAACATTGCACAGATAATTATTTATTAGTGTTTTTAATTTACAGAAAGTATGAATCGTAACAAAAATATAATTTGTTTATATGTATGTTCTTGCGACACATAACTTTCGTGATATAATTTAGTAGTTTTCGTGAGAAAATTATGTGCTAAGTTATAACTCTAAGTACAAGATTGTTACAAGATACACTATGATTTATTTCAATATTTTTAATTTGTTCAGTTGACATTAATTATACTTCCTACTATAAATCAATGTATTTTACT